GTCCGAAAAAAGTTAATGACAAAAAAAATACACATAACCTTCCTCAGGCAGTGTGTTTGTCCCGGGGACAGGAGACCCCCCCTTGATGAGAAACTGTAAGAAATGATCGGGGAATCCCTCCGGAGTGGAGTCATGACGACTGGATCTGAATTATTTTGTTGTATTTGGTGGTTTGTGTTCCAGTTGTCGATCAGCAACTATATATCCATAGTCCACCAGTTAAAGGAAATACAACTAATGTGTTGTGTTATATTAGCTGTACAATTTACCACATATGGTGTTCTTAGTTTCCATACCTCCTGTGTTTTACGAGCGACTTATCAAGTCTTGGCAAACGGCATAAAACACGATTAAACGTGATAGTATAAAAACCATGCTCGTATCTACAACCTATAGAAATGCAAAACGGCGTCAGTTTAGACGTAATTCTGTCCTCCTGCTTACCGCATCATTTATGAGAAAACATTTCATAACATTAACACAACATATTCGAGGTGGTTTTAAATAGCATATCCGTATTTATTTATTTCTCCAAGTTATGTTTTTGTGTGCACTGAGGAGTCGCAAACAGGCGTTTGTTTAATCATTTTAAGATTGGCTTTAATCAATGTTTGAAAATGAATTCTTCATATTTGATAAATGAGAGGTAACATTTTATTTATGGTATTATTTCCACATATTTCTCTCCATTCTCCCTTCTGCCAACGGTGTCGCAGTTTCTCGTCTCTCCCGTTTGTGTGCTTAGTGCGTACGCATGGGTCAGAGTTTGCGTGGAGGACCGCACATTTTCCGGTCAAGTTAGTATTTTATAAATCGCAAACATTGCGTAGAAACTGGGGTACGCCATTTTTTGAGCGTATATCCCTTTATAAATGAGGCCCCTGGTATGGATATTGTTGTGCCCTCACTCCGTGTCCTCAGTGATAACTCTCTGCTCTCGCTTAAGAGCCCTCTGTTATTCCCTACATCGCCTCGTTCCTTTGCTCCTTTCCCAGTGGTGGGGTCAGGGGTCCTGTCCTCTCCGCTGGAGCCAGTTGGAGTGACGAATGGCAACACGGCACTTCCAGCTGCCCGCAGCACAAACAGTAAACAGAGCGAGGGTGGAGGAAGAGAGCAGAGGGGTTTGATAAGAAAGAGAAATGAAGAGCAGGAGTAAACTAGGGAGAGCAATGAAGGGGTTTGCCACAAAGGACCCACACTAAAAGTCAAAACATGTGCGATCCCGTGTCTATTTTTGAAGCGCAGGGTGAAATTTGTTTAATACTTTTTAAATGAATTCTGTGGTGTACAAAGATGAACACATTTCCTCGAGAGGAGTGAGTGCAGACGTGGCCTGATGCTTGTTGATGTCTAATTTCTCCATCAGTTAAATGAATATAGAGCATCTGTTTACCCCCAAAAAGGAGACCAGATAGGGACAAACAGAGCAACAACATTTTTCAAATGCAAAGTAATAATAATAATTCATTTATTTTATATAGGCGCCTTTCAAGGCTCTCAAGGTCGCCGTACAAATACATACAAAACAAGATACACAATAGATAACACCAGCATAAGAAACATAAGCAAGACAATGCAGTATATAAATCAATCAAATAACCAATAAGTGCGTTCACTTCTGTCAGCATGTTACTGTGTTGGCACTCTTTGGATGGAGTCACCAACACGCTCGCTCTCAATTATGCTTATCTTGGTTTCGTGTCAGTATTAAAAATGCATTAGGCTCGAGTGCAATTATGATAGCTCCACCAGTTGCGAATAATGCATATTTAATAGAGAGTAAAACAGATTATTGCAAACTCTTTAATTGCATTTTAATTCCCCAAGACGCAGACTAGAGAGAAAGGGTGACAAATAAATCGTTAAGGACATTAAATATGTACTTTCACGTGGCCAGGTGTGGCTATAAGCAAACGGCATGTGAACACAGAGGAAACTTCATTATGGATGTGACAGCAGTCTGACTTTGGTGGGACTTTTGGGTTATGTGATATTTACAGAGCATCCTTTTTAAGTAACCATTGCTTGATAGTTACATAAGACTCCCTGTCTCTCTCTTTGCCCCTTTCTTCCTCCCTCCCTCCCTCAGTAAATCATTTCCCCAGAGCCAGTCATTAGCATCATCTGATGTTGCCATGTCTTACATCTCTTCTCTGATGTGCCAATCTAAAAAGACAGAATTGATTTGAAAATCTCAAGAGCTCCATTGCAACCAAAGGACAGCAAAATAAAACAAATTGTGTGTAATTGCAAAGTGCGGGTGACATTGCAGGGAGTGCGGGTTGGGCGCTGGAGCAGGTGATAATAGCGCTGCTGCTGCACTACACATAAACATACACACTGTCTTGTCGCCACCTCAGCCATCACTCTGAATGATGTCAGTCAAATTAATTGCTGCTTCTTCTCGTGGCACGCTTGAGGAGGTTTCACAGAGGCAAGGACAGTCCGGGGCGCAGAGAAACTGGGCTTAAGAGGAGAACTCTGTGTGCGTTTTTGTGCAGTGGTCTAAAGTAACTAAGTACATTTACTCAAGTACTGTACTTAAGTACAATGATTTCCATTTTATGCTACTTTGTAATTCTAATCCACTACATTTCAGAGGTAAATATTGTACTTTTACTCCACTACATTTACGTAGTACCTTTAGTTACTTTGCAGATATTGATTAACTACAATAAATATATATAATCAACACTTAAATAAGACTTTAGTTAAACCTGGATTAAATTCACATGATACCCAGCAGTAAATATAGTAATTAAAATGTGTTCCTCCTTTACAAGCTGATTAATACATCAATAATTATAATCAAAACATATGATTCTGAAATGGACCAATCTGCATAGTGACTACTTTTACTTTTTTAAGTATATTTCTATGCCAATACTTTTGCATTACACTACATTTAATTTGTTAGACGCTTTTATCCAAAGCGACTTACATACATTCAGTACTGTGGACAATCCCCACAGGAGGCACAACGACATGCTGACTGCAGTGGGACTCGAACTTGCTACCCCCTGATCCGAAGTCCAGCACTCTATCCACTTAGCCACAGCCGCCCCTTACTTCATTAACATTTTGAATACAGGAGTTTTACTTGAGTGTACACTTTGGTACTTCTACTTTAAATCAAGTACAATGTCTGATTACTTCTTCCACCTCTGTTTGTGTGAAGGAGTAACCATCATAGTATAATACTTATTCAGATTTCTTATGAGCATGAACTTAATTTCATAAAATAAATCCTTCTAATAAATCTTTTGACTGTTACTATTTATTGACAGTGGTTCATGACTCTTCAATCACTTTTATGTTAAGCTTCATTGATTAGCAAAGTAATCAGTTAGTCAAAAATCAATGAATTGTTACATGCTAAAATGGCAGAAAATGTTTTGAACCCCTTAAATATTATTTGATTTGGATCGGCCATTTATTTACAATTTTTTTTAGACCAAACGATTAATCTGGAAAAGAATCTGCAGATGAATAGTGTTTAGTTGAACTGAAGTGTTTGACACGACAACTGAAATTCAGATTAATGAGATAATTGAAGAGCAGATATATCAAAAGACATTCTCATTAGCTTCAGTAAAGAGAATCTTAACTCTAAATCAGTTTAGGTTTAGATTCATTTATATGTTCAAAATAGCTGGCAGATCTCTGAGGGAATGTTTTACCAAGAAATCTCGTCCTTGAGGCTGTTCTCCCTCCACACTTCAACTACGGGCATCACCCTCTTACTCAACTTCAGTGTCCATTTATGTGACAGGTGCATCCTTGATATACAAAGCTCCTGAACATTTAAATGTAAAATCACCTCCTAATTTCAGCTGTGAATCCGAATGTGTGTTTAGTTTTTTGGTATTGTTGCAACAGTTCAATCAATCATTTGAGCCTGAAAACAACAGCAGTTCAGCGAATGAATGAAACAAAGCCAAAATAAATTGATAAAGAGGGTATTATTCCATGTTATTCAGACTCCAGATCGGGCCTTTCACTTTGCTAATGGTGTCGATTCATCGCCAAACCGAACAAACATGAACACCAGAGTAACGCAAGAGTGAGATTTTGGACGTTCAAACAGCAGGTCCCTTTAAGTTTGACCCTTTAGACTCTGGTGTGACATGTACTTCAGGAAGTTTTATCTGTACAGACAATCACATACACCACGCAGTCGATTTCACCAAAATTGACACATGCACTTTTATTAAGATGGGCATTGAGATGCTAAAGCAAACACTTCACAACTGTTATGAATTTAACATAAATAGAGAGTATTTATTTGTCAGACCTCTATAACAACTTTAAAAAGATTTTAGCCAAGTACAACCACCTACAGCTTTGTTTGTGTCATCAATGCTCACCATAGATAAGTGATGACGCCATTTAGCACATACAAAAATAAATACTTTACATCAAATAAGAGGTAACTGTTGATGATGATGGCAATACATCCTGTTCTTCACAGTCCAACATACAATGTTTACTCAATACTTCAGAGTCTCTTTCTTTGGTCTTGAAAAGATTCATCCATAATATCTTTATGTCATGATAATATTGTAGTTAATGAGGTAAAGGAAAAGTTCAACATTTCAGGGATTAAGACCGATTATACCACCAGAATCTCTTAAAGTCTCTAATTTACTCATGATACTCGTTTGAATTATCCAAAGTGTGACCAAGTTTTAGTTAAACACACCAGGTTCCTCTGTGTCAAGTTAATGGATGTTGATCCCAGATTACCATTTCTTTAACTGCTGAGATTTGGAAACAACTGGACATTGCTAAACAAAAAAAGAAATGACGAGATAAAAGACACTTCCACTCAGATATTCAGACCATAACATTTCAAACAAGCCCTCAGCTCACAAATAAGGAAACAATTAATACAGACATTGTGTGATCAAGGATTATCAGTGACATTATACATCTCATCATCATTTACATTGTATCTCCAAATATAGTTGTTTAAATAATCCGACCTGACTGTGTGCTGGTGTAAGCCTGGTCTGATAGACTGGCTGCTGCTGTATAATGATAATATCAATGTTCAAATATGTCAGAAAATACTTTAGGGACTACACTGTCATCATAACTGATAGGAATGATGGCCAAACCTATAAATACAACACCCATGTTTTTTTATTAACCTAGATGTCCTTGAATGATTCACTTTGAAGAGCTAATTGAAAGTGATTTATCCAAACATAATTCAGTTAATAGCAATTATTTATCATCTGCTAAGTAAGCATAGAAGTCAAGGACACCACAAGTCGAGCAAAACCTTTAGGAGGACCGTTGTTAATGAAAAATACAGGGCACACAAAGTAATATGGGACATCCATAAAACACTCTCAAGCAGTAAAACAAATAATTTATGAGGTGTCTGTTGAGTACATTTGGTTTAAAGTTATATAGAGATTTGGATAAGATGTAAAGTGTGAAGCAGTATCAGCAATGAGATCAGTTTCAAAATCAAACACTTCCATCAATAGTGTCAACTCCTCATCATTAATGGATGGAGTGGGATGTAAACTCTGATGCTTTCATTCTTGCTGTAATCTTTAGTCACATGTCACCCTCTACCTACATGCTCATCTAGTTAGAACCTCATTTGGTTTGACGCTTTTTCCACTGGACTCCTTGCAGAGTGCAGGATGCTAACTTAATGAGTAACAGTATTTCCGTGTGCTGTCATGTAATTTGTCGTAGAGTGCAGGCAGGGTGCTGCATTTACACTGAATTTGGAGGAGCATGTTTTGACAGTGTTTGTGTTTGTGTACGTGTGTGATGGTATTGAAGAGAGCCGTGTCTGACAGCATTAGGGAGTGTGCTGCCCAGTCACTGGATTATCTTTCCCAGGGGGCGTGGGCTCTCCCAGCTTCCTGGCACAACAGCGAAGAGTCTTAATCTCAATCCCCCAAAATCCCCTTTCAGGAGCGTCTCCCCCCTTGAAGATAGTGCAGCGACCACGGTGAGCACGGCTAGCTCACTCTGACCGTCGGCACATGGACGGGCCACTGGCATAATGCAGACACGGGTACATGTAGGGTCGCTGTGTTCTTCAGTCACACTCAGAGTCAGCACAAAGGGCAGTGTCCTCGTTTGAAGTCCATCAGACCGGCCTGCACAGGAACGCTAGGACTCGTAGCATTAAGGATGAGTCAGTGCTGTGAGAGAGTCATGAGTCATTTCTTGTTTAGACTGACCGTCTCTATGTTGTGGCCTCCTGGATACAGTCTATGGCAGCCCAGCAGGATGGAGAAGGCCTTTCGGAAATCTGCGTTGAAGGCATAGATGATGGGGTTGAGGGAGGAATTAGCCCAGCCGAACCACACAAACACGTCAAACGTGGTGGGGCTGATGCAGGGGAAAGCCTCCCCTCCGCTTGACTGCTCACAGAAGGGCACCATGCAATTGAGTATAAAGAACGGAAGCCAGCAGCACACAAACACCCCCATGATCACAGACAGAGTCTTCAGCACTTTGGTCTCCCTCTTGAACGTCATCTTGAAAGAGCTCTCGGACTCTGACATGCTGGAGTCTCCACCCATGCTGTCATGTCTGTTCTTGGCACTTTCGGCCGCTCGCTCCAAGGCAGAGATCCGCCTGATTTGTCTGTGGGCAATGCGGTATATCTGGGTGTAGGTGGCCACCATGATGGCCACGGGGATGTAAAAGCTTATGAAGGAGGTGGATATGGCATAGGTTCTGTTCAGGCTGGAGTCACAGTTCTCTGGGCTGTGGTAAGATGTATCATTGAAGTCTGAGGAGGACTCGGTGTCAGGGGCGTAAGATTTAGTTTGGGCCTTGTGCCAGTTGAGCTGCACCGGGATGAAGGAAATGAGCACAGATAGCGTCCAGGCCACACTGATCATCACATAGGCCATCCTGGGTGTCATCTTCCTCTCATAGCGGAAGGGGTTGGAGATGGCCCAGTAGCGGTCCAGGCTTATCACGCAAAGGTTCAAAATGGACGCGGTGGAGCACATGATGTCAAATGCAACCCAGGTGTCACAAAAAGAGCCAAATGGCCAGAACCCGGCGATCTCCGTCACTGCCTTCCACGGCATCACCAAGATGGCGACCAAGAGGTCTGACACGGCCAGCGAGATCACAAAAAAGTTGGTGACCTTCGATCGTAGATGTCGAAACTTGGTGACGGCGGCACAAACAAGAATGTTTCCCAGCAAGGTGGTAAGGATGAGCAACGAGAGGAAACAGCCAGTCAGGATGCGGCTCGACGGAGCCTCATCCAAAAACCCGTTGTCGATGACAGTTGTAAGGTTCATGAGATCCATCCCTGAACATTCGAGGGTTGGGGAGAGCTTGTTTATTAAGTCATGCTGAAGGGCCGTGTTACATTATATCCACAGGATTAAAAACTGGGAGGCTTCTGTGCAACAGCTTTGCAAACAATCTCCATCATTGTGTCTTCCAAATGTATGAAGAGGGCTGACATGTTTGAGGCAAACATGCTCTTGGCAGGACATTAGCCCACTGACTTTATAAATTAGATTTGACATTATTCGAGCTGCAGAACTGAAGAGGTAGTGTTAACTTAGTTCCTTGATAATGACCGCCATGGGCTCTTCTTTCTTTGTCTTGGAGTTTGTAGATCCCACACTTTAGGTAGCCTCTGTCTGCTAATTAAAGTCATCAGCAGCCCTGTGGATTGAAGAAAGGAATTATACAAGATTGGATGTATTGCATTCATTTAAATAAAAGCAAATTGGTTAAAATACTTTATTTTGTTTTTTCTTATTGATATAATATTGTGTGTGTGTGTGTGTGTGTGCCATAAAGGAAATCTGATGTGTGACAGTGTTGCTTTGCCAATGATCAGATTTCAAACGGAATACAAATGGAGTTTCCCATGCAAGCATTGTTGTTGAATGCGTGATTACCAAATAGTCACACCTCCCTACATGCATGACAACAATAACGATTTTCTCACCTCTTACTCATGGGGTCGCAGCAAGCAAGTAGCTTGATTTTCACATTTCAAAATAAACGTCCCGTCGCCTCCATGAGAATTTAACAGCGTAAAGTAAATCCAAAAGGGCACCCAGTCTTCATGTCCGACAAAAACAAACTAGATAAGAGTCCGATAATATCCTCGATGGCCTCCACATCGCTGACTGTTATAAAATACACCACACACAACTGTAGTTGTCACTCAGCCGTCCCCTCTCTCGCTGCGTCCTCCCGCAGCCTCTGCTCGCTCTGCGGCCGGGTCTCTGTCTGTGCGCCGCGCGGCACAGCCTCACTCCGGCGCGCTGACGTTGTCCCATTCAAGACAAAGTGAATTGAGAGCATGCGACTTCGGGCCCCTCGGTGATTAAATCCGCTGTACTGCCTATATGCACCACGACACAGGAGGGACTTGTCATGTGCCACATTGCAGGCTCTTGAGTGGCAGAGTTTAGAGGCTTAAAAAAGCATGGTGCTGAATACACCTAGCTGTTATCATTAGTGCTTCATCTAAATTCAATTCAATGTACCCAGTTTAATCTGCACTGTGGTGTAGTTTAATTAAATTAAGATGCAGGTTATACAAATTAGGGACAAGGGCCAAACATGCATGGCCAGTGGGTCGCTGAGGCCACCTAATGGAGGAAGAGAACAATTGTGCCTACAGAGGGATATCAGGCTGCAGGGATATAAACCCTCCTGTGCAGGATTATATTGAATGGAGATTTGACATAAAACAGATTTATAACCAGACAGAGGATTTGATCAGAAGCCAATATTCTTCATTGACCTGTGGCAAGGTTTTCATGTGCAGACCATTGTCACCGTCAGCCGCAGTCATCATTTCCGTCTGCTCTGACCAATAAATCCTACCCACTGCTTGTAAAAATCCTGGAAGCGTCTGTCAGCATGCCCACAGTTTTACTCGGTTCAAGCTGGTATCTTCCATGCAGAGCATCATGGGATGCGGAAACAATCGTGACATGCCAGCTGTCACCTTACAGTGATGTGAGTAGTTCTGACAGGAGGAGAAGAAACAGCTTTTACCCTTTTCCTTCACAAGCATCCACACTATAGGACGTTAAATAGATGGGAGAAAGCCATGGGAGTAAAAGGATTGAGGATAAAATAAGGAAGAACATAATTTGTTACAAAACAAAAAGTACCATATCTTTCTTTAATATGATAACAGAGATTTTTTTTATTAAATTATGAAAAAGCCGTATACTTGTTTTTGTATTCAGTTGAGATGTAAATGTAGCTTTTCAAATATGAATCCCAAAGAAATAAAGGAATAGAGGAAGTCTAATAATAATTGTACAAAAACAAAGGTGTAGTGATGGACTCAGACCTGAATTTTAACAGTCACATTACAACAGTTATTAGGTCTGCATACTATCACCTGAAGAATATATCAAGGATTAAAAAACTAATGTCACAACAGGACTTAGAAAAGCTTGTCCATGCTTTTATCTTCAGCAGACTCGCCTACTGTAATAGTGTCTTCACAGGTCTCACAAAAAAATCAATTAGAAAGCTGCAGCTAATTCAGAATGCTGCTGCCCGTGTCCTCACAAACACTAAAAGAGTGGATCACATCAGTCCAGTACTGAAATCTTTACACTGGCTTCCAGTCTGCCAAATAATTGATTTTAAAGTACTATTGTTGGTTTTTAAAGCACTAAATGGTTTAGGACCAACTTATATTAACGAGCTCCTGCAAAATTATGAACCATCCAGGAGTCTCAGGTCTTCTGGGACGGGTCTGCTCTCTGCTACAAGAGTCAGAACTAAACAAGGAGAAGCAGCATTTAGTTTTTATGCGCCCACCATCTGGAACAAACTCCCTGAATCCTGCAGGTCAGCTGCAACTGTTGATATTTTTAAATCAAGACTAAAAACTTTTCTTTTTGACGCTGCATTTGGATGAGTTCACATTTTAACTGCAGTATGGCTTTTTATCCATGTATTTTATACATGTTGTGTTGATTTTATTATCTTTGCTTTTTAAATGCTTGTTTTTAAAATGCCTGTGCTTCATCTGTATATTGTTCTTAAATGTCTTTTATCTTATTTTGTAAAGCACTTTGGGTTGGCCTGTGCGGAAAGGTGCTCTATAAATAAACTTGCCTTGCCTTGCCTTGCCTTGCTTTGCCTTGCCTTGCCTTGCCTTGCTTTGCCTTGCCTTGCCTTGCCTTGCCTTGCCTTGCCTTGCCTTGCTTTGCCTTGCCTTGCCTTGCCTTGCCTTGCCTTGCCTTACAAAAATAAATTCTTATTTATTTTGATAATCAACTGATATTAGGTAAAAGGGATTTAATTTAAGCAAAAATACGTGATATTTTCTGCACCGAGCTTCTCATGGCTTATTTTTGATAATTTGTGATTGTAAAAGGAATATATTTCAGTCCTGGATCATATACACCTTTGATTCTTTTAAATTATAAACCCTCACAAAACAGAATATGCATATAGAAATAAAAAGGGATAATGATATAATTCTATGCTTTACACTGAAAAGTGTATTGAGCAGAGCAGGAAACTCAACGCTGTCAACACAAACAGAGAGGACAGCTAGATGGGAAATCTGCTGAAAGAGCATTTAGCTCGACATTTTGGAAAAATATATTTTCCTTTTTGCAATTTGAACCGCTGTTTCCAATCGCTTAACATTATCCTAACGGAAGTGGTATCCTGCTTCTTATCTCACTCTCGGCACATTGGGCACATTACACAAAATATTTCCCTTTACGTTTAACTTAAAAAATAGGCTTAAGTCCTGTGAATGATTTAAATATCAGTGTCATTCTCTTCCTCTGTTTATGACCATGTGCTCTTTGTTGTCATTCTCTCTTAAACATATGGACCGTTCTTTCCTGCTCCCAGGTCTTTTTGCGTAGTGCTGCCTTGCTGTTAGGACATCAAAGACACAGCAGTGGGACAGGTTCGAGAGTTCAAAGGTCAGAGGTGAGACCAGGGACAGACGGGCAAGCTGAGGTGCATTTTGGGTCTACTTCAGAGCGTCTCTCTCCACCTGCCTTCTACTCTGGTACTTCTCTGTGTTCAAAGGTGCAGCTGCCGCTCTTATAACTTGTGTGACAAAGGTAACATAACCATTCACAGAGGCTGCTACTGTATATCCTCTGAATTGTTTTCAAACAATGTAATGAGTGTGAATGACTTTATAGACATATGGATTTGAAATAACAGATAATTGAACCCTTGACTGCAGATGCTTTTCAAACAGTATGTCAATCACCACACGCTCTTATGGAGACCTCTGCTCAAACATCTTTAAGATCCCCCCTGCAGCAGCAATAAAGTCATGAAAACATTTCTGAGCGTTTTTTTGTCTGATGAGGGTTGACAGGTAAACAGCCATCCACAAAACACCCAGGAGTGATGAGTAAGACAGCTGAGGGCAAAGCGGGGTGTTTTAGGAACAGAAATGTTAGAGAACCTCAGCTCTTTTTGCTACTTCTTTTGTGTTTGTGCATGCATGTGTACGGACACAGCTGTGTGTATGTATCAGTCATGCAGATCTTCGTATGTTCACGTGAGTCCATTTGCGTGCTGGCATGCAAACATGTTGAGTTTTACTGCTCCCGTGACAAGAAGAATAGATGAAAGAGACAGTGATTCATTTATCTTTGGCATCCAGACAATGTGGCTCTTCAAACATAGCAGTGTATGATTTTACAAATACTCAGTGAGACAGAATTATGAAAGTAGTTGATTTATTTGACAACAGCAGCAGAACATTTCAGAAATGAAATAAGTTATTTTCACATTGTGAATATCACAATGGAAATGTCTTCAGAGAATCAACAGTTGTATTGAAATAAATAAATACATAAATACATTTTGAGATAAATGGACATAAATAATACTGATAAATAATGTAGAACATTTCTGAGTTGGAAACTGCATAAAAATATATATCTAATACATTCATTTAAAATAACTTTTTATTCAGTAAAAACTGAGGCAGCCCTGTATAAAACAGGAAGTCTTCATTATTTCATTGAGTTAAGTTTCCTGAAGAAACGTATGTATGGTTTGAAATGCCGCTTAATGATTGGGCTCGGCATCATTGTGCAATTGTGTTGATCCTGGAAGAGAAACAGAGACGGTTAGGGGTTCATTCTCATCTATATTTTTCTGTTGCAGAATGCACAAAGTTAACAGTAAGACTGCAGTGTCTGTCAAAAAATCGCAGCGTCATATTTATGTTGGCTCACCTCTGGATTCAGGATCTGCAGGTTCGCCTGAAGTCCTTGGATAATATGCTTGTTCGATTTATTCACCGTCACATTGCCAAGAAGGCTCTTCAGCGCATTGACATAGAATCTCACACAGGAAGACTGCAATAGCAAAATGACGAGGCCTTGTGAGGATATTGCGTCAAATATTATGCACGTGTCATAGCTCAATGTTACAAGAAGAGCAACAGAGACAGAAAAGATTAAACACTTACTTGATCTTTTGTCGTATCAATAAATGGAACCCACACCGTTTGCTATAAGGACAGAAAATAAATGGATTAGTTTATTAATCATTGGATGTTAAAGTGCTATGGAACTACATTTATATAGAGACGTTGCAATTTAAAATAGTTCCAATATGCAGCATGGAACTGATTTATAGAGTTTTAGCCAATATTTCCAACTCTTGCCCAGATTTTTGACTTTTACATAAAGTATATCTAGTATGGTTAGCTAAAATGTATAGGTTTCAATTTCATAAAACCACGTTACACTACAAAATATAATTGTCATTCAAGAAATGACAGCAAAGCAAATAAACTGTAGTGTGATCATTTAAATGCATTTAACTCACCAACGAGATGTTGGCTGGGTCCAGTTTGTCCAGTCCGTATATAATCTCTGTGTACACTTTCTTTATGTTGTCGTTACTGTGGCAGAGATGCAGCAGGACAACAAGTGCAAACACGACCTTCATCTTAGTGCAGTCTTTCTCTCTTCCTTTTACAGCTTCTCTTGTTGTCTTAAGTGTGAATGATGATGTGAGATAAGTATCTGCCAATTCTTTTTATACACAGAGGTCAGAGAGGAAAAGGAAATGACTGACGTCTTAGTTAACACCCACTTGGAAATTATAATGTTTTTTTTAAAATGTATTCCAATGTGTAAATTGCATATTTTAAAAGTTATGAGAAACCCGGCCAATTTAGTTTGAACTTTCTAA